ACATGAATTAAACAGGAGGAGCAGCCACTTATGTCGTCAGCCACCAGGAAACACTAAAGATGTGTTTAAAAACTGTTCAAACAGTGAAAAGAAAATGTCTGCCCGGCTGTTTGATTGTGAATCTACTCCTGTTCCACAGGCTGACGGGTAGGGAGGTAAATATTTGTGCAGCAGGTCCTTCTTCAGCTTTAATTCGGCCCCTAACATGGTTATAGGCGGTCTGGTTTGCATGAATCTAACCAGACAGACGTCCCAGAGGCTGGTCAGCCTCCGGACGCCATCGACCCCTCACGCAGAAATCATGCTGACTAAGCATCTGAGAGGCTTTATGCATCACAGGAGGGGAGAAACGAGGCTTTCCCCTTAATGTTTCAACTTAAACATCCTCTGTTTGCAGAGATATTGTCTTTTGTAAATGGAAAATCCTTTTTTTCTATAGGCTAATTCCTGTCTAAAAAAATGTCTGGCTTTTTCCAGCTCTTCTAAGCATTTTCCCTTGAAGTTTCAACTTAAACATCCTCTGTTTGAGAAATTTTGTCTTTTTAAGATTATTTTTACGTTTTCTTTTGGGAATTTAAACAATAATTAGGGACAAAATACTTTTTTTCCCATGGGCTAATTCCTGTCTAAATATTTTTCCGGCTCTTTTAAGCGTTTCCACTTAAAGATTAAACTTAAACATCCTCTTTTTAAGAAATTTTTTATTTTTACTTTTTTTTTTCCATTGCCTTTTGTGAATGGAAACAATAATTAGGGACAAAATACTTTTTTTCTATAGGTTAATTCCTGTCTAAATATTTTTCCAGCTCTTTCAAGCGTTTCCACTTAAAGTTTCAACTTAAACATCCTCTGTTTGCAGGAATATTGTCTTTTTTTTAAATTTTTTTCATTGTCTTTTGTGAATGGAAATGATAATTATGAGCAAAATACTTTTTTTTGCTATAGGCTAATTCCTGTCAAAATATTTTTCGTCTCTTTCAGGCAGTTCCACTTAAAGTTTCAACTTAAACATAATATGTTTGAGAAATTTTGTCTTTTTAAAATTATTTTTACATTGTTTTTTGTGAATGGAAATAATAATTAGGGACAAAATACTTTTTTTCTATAGGCTAATTCCCGTCTAAATATTTTTCCGGCTCTTTTAAGCGTCTCCACTTAAAGATTGAACTTAAACATCCTCTTTTTGAGAATTTTTTAATTTCTTAATTTTTTTCCCCATTGTCTTTTGTGAATGGAAACAATAATTAGGGACAAAATACTTTTTTTTCTATAGGCTAATTCCTGTCTAAATATTTTTCCAGCTCTTTCAAGCGTTTCCACTTAAAGTTTCAACTTAAACATCCTCTGTTTGAGAAATGTTGTCTTTTTAAAATGATTTTTACATTGTCTTTTGTGAATGGAAACAATAATTAGGGACAAAATACTTGTTTTCCTATAGGCTAATTCCTTTCTAAATATTTTTCCGGCTCTTTCTGACTCCATGGGGATTGATAAGTCCAATGAGTGAATCGGGAGGGTTTGTCCTCTGCAGTACTTTAGTCATAATGGATCACAAATGGATAACCCCCCCCCCACAGCTCTGACAGGGTGGGGGCTTCAACCCATTAGCGGTTCTTCAGAGTCCATTTGCTCTTTGCGTGTTTAATGGAAGTAGTTTCTGGAAGTGGGATGGAGTTCTTCACAAGGTTTCCAGCTCAGATCAGAATCAGAATCAGAAATACTTTAATAATCCCAAAGGGAAATTATAGATTCAGAAGAATTGTTGATTTCTGCCTTTTTTTTCTTGTGTTCATCTCTCAGTTCAGATCTATGACCTTGGTTTCTGTGGTTTTTCTGCCTCAGCTAACAAACAACCGGGCAAAAAAAACCCCTCACCTGTCCCGGAGCTCTTTATTTGATTGAAAACAAACTGGATGGGACGAGTTACATCACAGAGTGAGAGAGGTCACCCTTCTGTGTGAGGCTCAGATAAAGATGATGGGCTAAAACAAAAGCCTTTTGAAAGGGCCGGCGTTGACATCTATTTTTCATTTTATTAATTTTTTTAAGAAGCCTCCCTTAATCATGCAATGCTGCTTTAAGATTTATTTAAGATTTATTTTTGTTACAGAAGTAAGATGGTTAATGCCAAACCTGACAGGGGGGACAGGAAAAGAGAAAAAAAGAAATGAAAAAGGAAAGGAAAGGGAAAGAAAATTAGATAAAATAAGGAAAAGAGAATTGAATCCATTTTTTTTAAATTTTTTTTTTTAAGAAGCCTCCCTTGATCATCCAATGCTGCTTTACTATTTCTTTAAGATTTATTTTTGTTAAAGAAATAAGATGGTCAATGCCAAACCTGACAGGGAGGACAGGAAAAGAGGAAAAAAGATGAAAAGGGAAAGAAAATTAGATAAAATAAGGAAGAGAGAATAGAATCTATTTTTTATTTATTTATTTTTTTTAAAGAAGCCTCCCATGATCATCCAATGCTGCTTTACTATTTCTTTAAGATTTATTTTTGTTACAGAAGTAAGATGGTTAATGACAAACCTGACAAGGGGACAGGAAAAGAGAAAAAAAGAAAGGAAAAAATAAGAAAAGGGAAAGAAAAATGAGGAATAAGGAAGAGAGAATAGAGAAAAAGTAACAATAACCGTGCCGAAAAGAAGAGAGATCCTTAAAGCAATATGAGAGAAAAAAAAGACAACAAAACCGTACAATTAGCTGCTGTGTCTGTAGAAAAATGTCCTGTAGTCACTGTGGGAGAACCTGTAGGAGAACCTGCAAACATCTAAGCCCCCGTCAGGTTCTTCTGGTACCCGGCGGCCATGTTGGATGTCAGAAAATGTCCTTAAAACGGGGGGAGACACAAGTATAGCTTTTAGACGATGCTCCTGTTTGAACTGGTTTGTTTTCAGCAAATGTCAACTGCGTGTTAACGAGGGCTGTAACCCCCCCC